GTGCCGCGCCCTGTCCCGGCCTCACCATGTTGGTGCTGTTTGAAACGTCTGTAGGCTACGCCATCTTTAAGGTAGGTGAGATTGAGCCGTTGGAGGAACGAGAGAGAAGGCCTTTGCTGAGCAGACGAGGGAGGGAAAGACCTGACGAGAGGACAAGACTGTTCAGGATTGCGTGGGTGCCTTTATGTGCCCAGACTCTGAAAGGAAGGGAAAGGCTTCAGGCTTGGGTGGCGCATGTTTCAGTGAACACGTGGCCCCGCAGTTTGGGTTCCCGGTACTGCGTTAGAGGATTTGGCGCGTTGGCGGAGTGGACAGAAGCAGTATTGTCTAGGCTTTTCATCTTATGATAAGAACTTCTGATTTTTATTCTGAGTGTTTTCAGGAATCTTTGGAAGGCTTCAAGTAAAGGAATGACCTGATCTAATTTATCTTTCAATAAGCTTACTTTGCTTGCTGTGTGGATACTAGATTGCAGGGGGCAATAAAGGAAGCAAGGACTTTTTGCGTTAATCTAGACAAGATATAATGGCTTGGATTAAGGTTGATTTGGAGGGAAACAAATATCGAGAGAAGTTTAGGAGATAAAACTGACAGGATTTGCTGATGGATTGAGTGGATTTTTGTTTTAAGTAAATAAATGCACGGTGGTGCCGTTTACCGAGATGGGGAGGGTTGGAAGGGAAACGAAGTTGTGGGTTTTAGGCGGTTTAGGGGTACTAAAGGCTTTGGCTATCTCAGACGTGGAAGTGCAGTTGTCATGTAGATCCGGCAGTTCGGTATTTCAAGTGTGAAGTTGGGGAAATCTGGCCTGGTGATACCAATTTGAGACGTGTTTGTTTTAATACGAAAGTTTGGAATAATTTAACTTCGTCAGCACGAGAATGAGACATTCGTGCTGTGGAATACTGTTGCGATGTTAGGAAGAATGAGGTTAGATTGCGGGCCTTCCAAGTGCCAGGCACTTTTTTCTGCTCTGCGAATATTGCCATTGAGTCGATTGCGACTCATAGCGACCCTGTAGAAAAGAGTAGAACTTCCCCATAGGGTTTCCAAGGAGCAGCTGGTGTATTCGAACTGCTGTCCTTTTGGTTAGCAGCCGTGGCTCTTAACTACAGCAAAGTTTGCGCATATATACTAGATTTATATATGCTGATATAAGGCAGAAAGTCCTAGATAAAATATACATAGTGCGATTCCAGTTGTGAATCAAAAAAATGCTTCTGTGTATGTTGTATGGGCGCAGAAAGTTTGAAAAGGTATATACCAAAATATCGACTTGTATACTTCAGTTTGCACTTGTTACATCAAATACTCGTTATTTTTTGAGAAAACCAATAAAATTATAATTAAAAACTTTAACGGTGACTTATTTTTCTTTTTACTGGGATTATCTGTATTGCAGTACTAGCAATTTTAAGGAACTTTTAAGAGGTTTATTCCCCTTTAAAGCCCTAGAACATGTCTATTTTGTTTTTCCCAGCTTTTTGAAATATTTCCTAAATTCTTAAGTACAGTTCTGAAGAACATACCACGAATTCTCTTAGCCAGCAGGGTCTGTCAAATTTTCAGTCAGTGCATATTGAGGAATTTCGTCGTAAGCTTATTACGTATACAGTTCTGAATTGGATGTTTAGAGGAACTACTCTTTAGACAACTTGTTGCCTCCAAATATAGAAAGGAATTGGCCTAGCAATAAATTGTCTGGTTTCTAGACATGGGTCATAAAGTATTTAACTGTGTCTCTTGATGAATTAATGATTTCTGTTAATGAAGAGTATCCTGCTCCATAAAAATAAATCTTGAATGTTCTGTTGCTGTTTTCAGTTACAGTTCAAGATTAAGTTATTTATATAACCTCGTATTAGAAATAACTAGTCAGGCTTGAGTATATTGAAATTTTGATTTCATTTGTAAGTTGGAATTATAACGCTTACCACTTGATTTTACATACAAAATGTTCTGGAATTAGATTGTGGTGATAGTTATACAACTTTGTGACTATACTAAAAACCACTGACTTGTACAGTTTAAAAGGGTGAATATTATGGTAAGTGAATTATATGTTAATTAAAAAAATTGTATTTCAGTGTCTACAGTACAAGTTTATTAGCTCCCTTCCCCATAATATTTCAGAATGCTGGGGTATAAAGTTATATTGGTTGCATAAAATTCATGCTTTTATGGAAATGCTCTAAGATGTTTTCCAAATTTTTTAAATCTTAATTCACAGTGAAGAATACCTTTTATATCATGGCCCAGTGTGCACATACATATCCATATAATATACAGTGTGATTCAGAATAATTAAACACTTTCAACGATTGATTGCTCTGTAGCAAGGTTATATATGAAAGCAAAGTCACAATTAATATGTAAAACCAAAAAACCCATTGCCATCGAGTTGATTCTGACTCATAGTGACCCTATAGGACAGAGTGGAACTGCCTCATAGGATTTCCAAGGAGCAGCTGGTGGATTTGAACTGTGCTGATCTTTGGGTTAGTAGCCAAATGCTTAACCACTGTACCACCAGGCTCCAATATGTAAAGGAACAACTAGAATATTACGAAGACTCAATTTGGGTCACTTGTCATAATGTGAACACACAACATAAGACCAAAGACATCCTTTAGTCTTTCTTCATCTCAGACATTTTATAGCTGTGATGTCCTTTATGGTAGCCACTAGCCACAAGTGGCTATTGAACACTTGAAGTGTAACTAGGGTGACTGAGCAAAAAAAAATTTTTTTAAATTTATTTAAATTTAAGTAGCTACATTGAACAGTGCAGCTGTGTAGCATTGCATGCATCTGTGTCCTTTGTTTCCTCAAACTTTTGGGAAAAGATTTTTGGTGTACCAAATGTTCATATGTAACCTAATTATTGAGCAATATATTTTTTCAAGCTCTATTGAGGTATAAATTATATACTGTGTAACTCATCCATTATAAATGCACAGTTTGATGCATTTTAGTGAAATTTATACTGTTGTGTAGGAGCCCTAGTGGCGCAAACGGTTAAGCGCTAGACTGCTAACTGAAAGATTGGCGATTTGAAACCACCCAGCAGCTCTTTGGGGAAAAAGACTTGCCTATCTGCTCCTGTAAAGACTATAGCCAAGAAAACCATGGTGCAGTTCTTTCTGCCACATGGAATCGAATGAGTCAAAATGACTTGATGGCACCTAACAACAAACATCTATCAGGAAGGGCATAAATGATGGTACATCCAGACAATACCAAGCAGCTGGTTAAAAGAACCTGGAATTGTGTCCATGATACGCTAAGTGTATAGTGTAGTTCCTAAAAATACGCATAAGTAACATGTTACATAGAGTTTTGAAGAATGTGTATCTAAACGTTAATGGCTATATTTCATAGATGAAAATGCCCCTTTTTTTCTTTTCACATTTGAAAATTTCTTACATCAGGATATGTCTTATAATTGATGATATCTTAGTTTTAGTGAAATCTGTAATTTCATGTGAGGATGATCATAGCGGTAAATAACAGGATGCCCGTGGATGGTGCAAATGGTTAAGTGTTTGTTTCCTGTCGAAAGTGGGTAAATAGTCTTTTGATGATGTTCTATGCATATGTTATGAATTGATGGTGATTGTGAAGGGGTTAAAAAAAAGAACAAAACTAATCGTCAAGGAGTCACGTGTGTCAGAGCAGAACCCTGTTCCACAGGGTTTTTAGTGGCTGATTTTTTCGGAAGTATATCGCCAGGCCTTTTTTCCAAGGAGCCTGTGAGCAGACTCAAACCTCCAACATTTTGGTTAGCAACAAGCTTGTTAAATCATTTGTGAGGGGATCAGAGGCTCCTTAAAAATAGAGGATTCTAAAAAAGACCCTAACGGGGTCTGAATTCCATCGGGTGGTTAATGGGCAACTTGAACCACTAATTTGACCAAAAATGTCTGCTGAGTAAAAAAGAAACTAGTTTATTATTTCAGAGAGAGAGAGAGAAATAGCTTCCATTACCTTCATTTTGCACATGCAGTTGTATTTACTCCATTAAACTGTACATAGAGTGTGTGTATATGTGTGTGTGTATATATATATGTGCTTAGTTGGTGCCATTTAAAGAAAATTATTTAAATATTTATTGCAGGTTCTAAATGAGAAGAAACTTCAAGAGGTTGATAGTTTATGGAAAGAATTTGAAACGCCAGAGAAAGCAAATAAAATGTAAGTGATCTTGAAACTAAGAATTTAGTAGTTAATATTTAGAGCTTTTTTAAAGCATTTTTTTGCTGATTTGTATAGTATTATATTTGTAATTTTTTGTTTTGAAATCTGTTTCAAAAGTAGCATTGGTGTGAACCTAATTGTGAGAGATGTTTCATTTGGAACAAAGGCCATCTCAGCTAATTTGTATTAGTTACAGACTAGATTGAGAATCACCCCATAATTATTTTCTAAGATTTTTGAAAACACAAATTAATTTTGAATTAATAAGAGTGTCAAACTCAAAGAATCAGCATGCTAAACAATTAGAGAAGCAAAATACAGAGATGGTTGTTGCAGTATTTCTGGTAGCGGAAACTCCGAATTTTTTTATTAGTTTATTGTTATAGTTTAAGTGAAAGTTTATATTTCAAGTTAGTCTCTCATACAAAAATTTATACATACATTGTTACGTGACCCTAATTGCTCTCCCTATACTGTGACAGAACACTCGTCCTTTCCACCCCTGATTTCCCATGACAATTCAACCAGCTCCTAACCCTCTCTGCCTTCTCGTCTCACCTCAGGACAGAAGCCGCCCATTTAGTCTCATGTATCTACCTGAGCTAAGAAGCACACTCCTCATGAGCATTTTATGTTCCACAGTCCAGTTCAATCTTTGTCTGAAGAGTTGGCCTCGGGAATTGTTTTAGTTCTGGGTTGACAGAGAGTCCCGGGGCTGTGCTTTCTGGGGCTCCTCCAGTCTCAGTCAGACCATTAAGTCTGGTCTTTTTACTAGAATTTGAGTTCTGCACCCCACTTTTCTCCTGCTCCATCAGGGACTCTCTGTTGTGTTCCTGTCAGGGTGGTCATTGGTGGTAGCCAGGCACTGTCTAGTTCTTTTGGTCTCAGGCTGATGAAGTCTGTGGTTCTTGCGGCTCCAGAAACTCAAAATTTTAAACAACCTAAATGTCCATTAGTAGTGGAATGGTTGAATAAATTGTAGTACAGATTTCTAGATGTCTTATTGACCTGGAGCAAGGTCCGTGATATACTGAGGAAACCAAGTTTCACAATAATTTATGTAATGTGATTGCATTTTTGCCGTATTGTTATATATATGCGCATATGTAGTGAAGTATAGAAAGTATACTTAAGTATAGAAAGATACGAACAAATGCCACCTCAGAAGAGTGGAAATGGGGATAGAGTAGGGTGGAAAATGATGAACTTACTACTTTTTCTTAAATCTTTGTATTGGTAAGTGTGTATCTTAAGGCTGCCCCCCATCACCACAGTTCCCTGACCATGCAAGAAAACCCTGCTTAAGATACACTGTTAAAGGCACGATGGAAGACAAGTTTTCCTTTTTAAAGGTTATGTGCTTCAGTTGGCTGAATTAACCTGAATCATTGTTGTCAGTGATGTATTCTTGTTGGAACTGAATCTAAGTGATCTAACTTAAATATTCGTCACTGCCACTGAGATGACAATGAATTCACGGTATGTATGATTGTTTTAATATAAAATGATTTTCTAAAACCCTGCACTTAAGTATATAATCCATTGCTGTAGAGTCAATTCTGACCCACAGTGACCCTAGAGGACAGAATAGAACTGCTCCATAGGATTTCCAAGGAGCAGCTGGTGGATTTGAACTGCTGACCTTTTGGTTAGCAGCCGTATCACTTAACCACTGTGCCACCAGGGCTCCACTTAAAGTGTGTAGAGGAGAGGAAAAACCAAACCCATTGTTGTTGAGTCAATTCTAACTCATAGCGACCCTGTAGGACAGAGTAGAACTGCCCCATAGAATTTCCAAGGCTGTAATCTTTATGGAAGCAGAATTCCACATCTTTCTCCTGCAGAGTGGCTGGTGGGCTCAAACTGCGTGCTTAACCACTGAGCTATCAGGGCTTCTTATATAGGGGAGAAAGAGTAAGATAAGAGTAGCAGCAATCAGATCTTATACACTAGATAGACAAATGGATATCATGAGATTCCTGACCTAAGAGGGACTTGTACTTTTTCCTGGGCTAGCTCTATGCTGTGTAGTAAAACCAACATGTGTGTTCAGTCATTAACCATCAGGAGCTATGTTGAAACTTCAGCATCTTTGCTTGTGGTTTACATGTGGTAGTAAACCTCTTTACTGTTGACCTTAGTTCCCTTCAAAGTCTACAACCTTTTCAATAATAGTCCAAACATTACTACCCTAGCATTTAGAAAAACTCGTCATTTTGTGAAGAATAGCTAACTTTTGCACCCTGGCACCCAGTAACATGCTAGTTTCTTTTATTGGTGTGTGCTTTGGAAACAATCCAACACCTCTTTCCCAGGTATGTTGCTTTTGCAAAATTAACGTGCACCCATGACATGTTTGTTTGTTTTATTCCAGAGTAAAACTAAAACATTTTGAGAAATTTCAGGATACAGCAGAAGCATTGGCAGGTAAAGTAAAAATAAATAAAAAATCAGAGGCTTTAAGGGAAAATCTTGGCAATTTGTTTTCCTTGTTAAAGGGTTGTCTACTTCAGTTGCTTGAGTTAACCTTATTCAATGTTGTCAATGATGCATTCTTGTTGGAACTGAATTTAAGTGATCTAACTCAGATTCGTCACTACCACTGAGACAACATTGAGTTAGCTTTTTTCATCATAGGGTTGGTTCCCCCCTGCCCAGTGTAATGAGAGGTGAGAAGTGGTTAAGTTGATCTCTCTGTGGAAACCAACAGCATAATGCTGAAGCACAATTCAGTAAAAGCTGTTCTACAAGGGACCAAGGTAATGTGGTCAAGTTCCCCGCTTTCTGGTAATTTTAATCCAAGGGTGAGGTTGAAAATATCCCGAATTCACAATTGACCAGGAAGGGATTTAGAGAAGTCATAAAGTTCAAGAGCGCACATTTTTTAGTTTGAAAAGGCATATTCAGTATTATAAAACGTTTTAGGAAAACTAATAGTTTTGTTTTTTAATACAAAAACTACAGAGAGACATAAGAGTTTCGCTTCTCTAAAGGGGGCTAGTCCTCAGGAAGAGACAACAGAGTTACAATGATAGGATTTAACTAGGATTGGCTTCAGTAGGCACTTGGTCTTACAGTCTTTCTAATATTAGAGAAAACAAGAAGACCAGATATAAAACCCAAACCATTGATTTTTCAATTGCTTAAATTCTATATCACGTCACTCAACTTCTTCGTGGTATAATTTGAAAATGAAGGACCATAAGGAAGAACATGCCTGTGAATTTGGCAGATGCAAATATTTTGTTCATTGGCCGTGATAGAGAAAGGTTATGGTTCTCTTGTGAAAATTGGGGAGCCTAAGTAGAAATGCTGGAATATTAATGGACACCCCAACCTGGGCAGAGGGGTAGGTTGACAGAGAACCCAAGACTGGGGCCATTTTAAAAATATGTATTTATAGGGCTGCTTCCTCAACAATTAAAGCCTCATATAGCCATAAAGCATATGACTATAGTAATTTTAACCTGAAAGTTTAGATAGAGATCTGTTTATCATAGCCTTAAAGTTAAATAGGAGTAGAATTTTGGTAAAATCACAAGCAAGAGTGTGTTCTGTACTGCACAATGCTGGGGGGCATTAGTCATACAAACTGACAGGCACAGCTCCTCCTGGAGTTGCAAAGTGCTACAACCGTTATCCCAAGGGTCCTCCTTTGAATTCGTATTTTGTGTATAGCCTGTATAATCTACTTGGGATATTTCTGACTGGTCCTTACTAACTATTACTAAATGAGCAAGCCCAACTTTTACCCAAATGTGAAGCGGGTTTTTTACTAATAATAGTTAATATATGGATCACATAGTGATTGTCAGATATTTTTGTAATTATCTTGTTTAATCCTTGAAACAGTCCTGTGAGATAGATATTATTGTCCTTATTTTGCAGATGATAAAACAGAGGCTTAGAGGTGTATCTGAATTTCCGTACCTAGTTTCTCTGTGTTTTTTAAAATAATGTAAGATAAATGTGGAGAATGTTAACTAGGTGAGAATTTAAAAGTCTTCTCCCTTCCCCTATTATTCTAAGCTCCATGAGGGTGGAGACCATTCTTCACTGTCAAATCTCTAGGTTCTAGCACAGTGTCTAGTCAGAGAAGGTACTGTTTTGGGTAAATGAATGAAAGTAGTGAGCTCTATCAGGAATCTAGTCATACGGTACCTTTTCCTATCTACTTTTACCAGAAAGTTGAACTATCACCTTATTCTTAAGAGAAAAGAGTCCTTTCCGGGGAATTTTCCTACTACCTATCGTAACACAGTTTTGACATGTAACCACAACTGTATGGCTGTAGATAATCAGATACTTCTTTTTTTCATGGCTATACAGTATTCTATTGTGTGAATATACCACAATTTATTCATCATCTTCTCCCCTCTGGCACTCTTGAGGTAGAAGCCTACAGTGCAGGCAGCCAGGGGGTGTGGACCCTCTGTTCCCCACTAGCCTTCCCTTCATCTACCCCATGGCCTAGGCCACCTAGAATCCCTCCAGGCTGAGGTGCAGGAAAGGCTGACAACATTGTGGACGCTGGCTTCATTTTAAAGCTGAGTGTCTCATGGATGTGGCTGGAATTTCCTGGAGATGGGCCTGCTTAGCCAAGCCCCTCTCCTTCATCAGAAGCAGAACTTTTTTTTTTTTTTTTAATTCTTTAAATGTAAGTTTACACTTCAAATTAGTTTCTCATACAAAAATTTATACACACACTGCTATGTGACCCTAGTTGCTCTCCCCATACTGGGACAGCACACTCCTCCTTTCCACCCCGGATTTCCTGTGTCCATTCAACCAGCTCCTGTCCCCTCCTGCCTTCTGATCTCGCCTTTGGACAGGAGCTGCCCATTTAGACTCTGTATCTACTTGAGCTAAGAAGCACAGTCTACATGAGTATCATTTTATGTCTTACAGTCCAGTCTAATCTTTGTCTGAAGAGTTGGCTTTGGGAATGATTTTAGTTTTGGGCTAACAGAGTCCAAGGGCCATGCCTTCTGGGGTCCCTCCAGTCTCAGACAATTAAGGCTGGTCTTTATTAGAATTTTAGTTCTGCACCACACTTTTCCTGTGCTCCATTAGAGACTCTACTGTTCCCTGTCAGGGCTGTTATTGGTAGTAGCCGGGCACCATCTAGTTCTTCCGGTCTCAGGCTCATGGAGTCTCTGGTTTATGTGGCCCTTTTGTCTCTTGGGCTAATATTTTCCTTGTATCTTTGGTGTTCTCCATTCTCCAGGTGGGTTGGGACCAATTGATGCATCTTAGATGACTGCTCACTAGCTTTTAAGACTCCAGACGCTGCTCACCCAAGTGGGATGCAGAACCTCTTCTTACACTTTTAAACTTTCGTTAAACTTAAACTTTTGTTATGCCGGTTGACCTAGATGTCCCCTGAAACCATGGTCCCCAGACCCCAGCCCCTGCTACTCTGTCTCTCAAAGTGTTTGGTTGTATTTAGGAAACTTCTTAGCTTTTGGTTTAGTCCAGTTGTGCTGACTTCCCCTATAGTGAGTGTTGTCCTTCCCTTCACCTAAGATAATTCTTGTCTACTATCTAGTTAGTGAATACCCCTCTCCCTCCCTCCCCAACCTCTAACCATCAAAGAACGTTTTCTTCTGTGTTTAAACCTTTTCTTGAGTTCTTATAATAGTGGTCTTAGACAGTATTTGTCCTTTTTCAACTGACTAATTTCATTCAGCATAATGCCTTCCAGATTCATCCATGTAATGTTTCACGAATTTATCGTTACTCTTTATTTTTGCGTAGTATTCCATTGTATGAGTATACCATAATTTGTTTATCCATTCGTCTGTTGACGGGCACCTAAGTTGTTTCCATCTTTTTGCTATTGTGAACAGTGCTGCAGTGAACATGGCTGTGCACATATCTATTCATGTGACAGCATTTATTTCTCTAGGGTATATTCCAAGGAGTGGGATTGCTGGATTGTATGGT